GTAAAGCCATTTTGCTATACAAGAATACTCAGAAATTCAGCATAAAGTGATAGTTATATTGCACTAGAAAATTACAGATTTTAGCTGAGAAGCATATGTATTTCGATTTATGAAAGAAATAAGCTACTGGGAATAAATAAAGATAAAAATAAGAGTAGAATGATTCAATTAAACAACAAACAGAAAATATAGCTTCTTTTCAATATGTAATTAATGAATTGGGCAATATATACTTCTGTAGATATATAATTGTATATTACATACAAAAATAAGAATTTTACTTTGTTGTTGTTTCTTTGGGATGAAAGCTGAATAAGTGGTTTGTGTAAGTCTTGTACAATATACCAATATGGGTTGGGCTTATACAAACCTGACTATTGTGAGAGCTTGTAAAAAGGCTTAGGAAAACACATTTTCTATACCAAAAGCAAATAGCTTGAGCAATTATTCAGAAACAGTTATATTTCTCAGCCATATGTATTCACCAAGCCATTTCAAAAAAAGTATATATAATGTAAGAAAAAGATCCAAAATATCATTCAATTCATATTAATCAAAAACATCAATTCATTCTTAAACTTTACATCATGCGCTCTCCTATGGTTCAAATCTTCTCTACTCTATGTTTTCTTGGACTCTTGGTAAACTTGACACAGGCAGCTCCGTATGCCCCTGGTGATTGGCGTTTGAAGTTTCACATGTATCGTCCAGTAGAAAAACCAACCGCAAAATGCATGTGGTATACCGCTAAAAATTTGTGTGCCTAAGACCATCTTGCCTTGTTTTATATAAATTTACTCATTTTGAATAGTATATAAATATATATTAATCAATGTAATATCGAAAATAAATAAAGTTAATACTTCTTTTTGTGACTTTGTAATATACATACTGAAACGTAGAACAGAATAGATTCTTTGAACTTTAATTAAAATAATAAGGATTTCTACTTTTTATATTTTATTCTCATACATGTATACAATATGAAATCTGTGTTGTATTTATTATAAGTGGTTTCATTGAGCTTAATATCTCTGTTTTGGCTACTAAAGACAAAATATAAAGTATTGAGCTACCTCAATTCGTAGGCATGCCTATATAACTAACATTTTTTTTTGTTAAACGTAAGACGTATCGAATTTCTTTATAGGCTTCAGAAGGTAGATATCTAAAAAATAGGGTTTAAGTTTTAGTGCAGCAATACTTTACCCTATTCAAAGAATTAAAAGTAGTGTTTGATAAAATAATGCTAATTTTATATCTTATTCAATATATATATCCTTGGGAAATACTCGGTGGATTGAATGAATACAATCTCTGTAATGCTTACATTAATAAGTATACAAATACTAGTCATATTTTTATTTTAAAGGGTTTATTATAGCATTATATAACAAATACAACAATTATAATAGGTAACGACAGTGAATTTCTCTCTTTACCATTTCCTATTGATAATATTCTTTGACTGATTTGCGAAGATTATCTTGTATGAGCGTAAAGCTTAGCACTTGAAAATTATTTTGAAAAGTAGTACTTACCAATAGACACT